TTCCAGCTATTTTGTTATTAAAATATAATTAAAATGTCAACACTTCAAAGTTGCTTAATTAAAATAGTAGGACTAACATGCACTGGATTATAGAGAAAGCCAGAGAGTTCCAGAAAAACATCTACTTCTGCTTCATTGACTATGTGGACCACAGCAAACTATGGCAAATTCTTAAAGAAATGGGAGTGCCTCACCACCTTATCTATCTCCTGAGAAACCTATACGTGGGACAGGAAGTACTGGAGCCTCAGCTTCAGGATCTGTCCTTCCAGTGAGCACTCAGGGTTGATTTCCTTTAGAATTGATAGGTTTGTTCTCCTTGCAGTCCAGGGGATTCTCAAGAGTCTCCTCCAGCACCACAATTCAAAGGCATCAATTCTTCGGCGGTCTGCTTTCTTTATGGTCCAGCTCTCACTTCCATACATCACGATTTCTTTGGAAACAGACATAATAAATTCACTGTCCTGTGTTGTTTAGTGTTGTGATAATCACTGCAGATGGAGACAGCAGCCACGAAATTAAAAGACACCTGCTTCTTGGGAGGAAAGCCATGACAAACCTTGACAGCATCCTAAAAAGCAGAGACATCACCTTGCCAACAAAAGTCCGCATAGTCAAAGCTATGATTTTTCCTGTAGTGATGTATGGAAGTGAAAGCTGGACCATAAAGAGAGCTGACTGCTGAAGAATTGATGCTTTTGAACTATGGTGCTGGAGGAGGCTCTTGAGAGTCCCCTGGACTGCAAAGAGAACAAACCTATCAATTCTAAAGGAAATCAACCCTGAGTGCTCACTGGAAGGACAGATCCTGAAGCTGAGGCTCCAATACTTTGGCCATCTCATGAGAAGAGAGGACTCCCTGGAAAAGACCTTAATGTTGGGAAAGTGTGAAGGCAAGAGGAGAAGGGGACGACAGAGGATGAAATGATTGGACAGTGTCATCGAAGCAACTAACATGAATCTGACCCAACTTCCGGGAGGCAGTGGAAGATAGGAGGGCCTGGCGTGCTCTGGTCCATGGGGTCACGAAGAGTCGGGCACGACTAAACGACGACGAACTTTGCTGGGCATTATGCCCAGGCAACAGGGCTTGTGTGTGTGTAATGTGCAGTCCACATTGTGACCCCGTTCTGCCTTGGTGCCATTGCAGTTACCACTTGCATAACTCTGAGTCATGCAAGCATAACTACTCAATGAGTAGTGAGATGCAGCCACTGCATCTCACCCAGATAATACTGGTTATTGAATAGCCTGAAAGTTCAATAAGAAAGGTCGCTTGCTAGTTTCTAAAACATCTTACAACAAACATGGATATAAAGATAGCCTGGAAAAAATGCAAGAAATATAAATGGAAATATTTCTTCATTGTCTGCTTCTTCAAGCTAGCATACAGTTTTTTGAGGTATGGTTTTTAAAAATCCATTAGAAAATGCATGTATTTTAAGTGACTTGATCTGACAGAGCAGGAATGATGATCAGTAGTCTTTAATTTGTTGACATACTAACTGCATAGTTTCTGCAGAAAACAATAACTTTATTTCCATAAAGCAAAATGTGAGCCACAGAAACAGTAAGTATGAAAGAACATTTGCAAAACAGCAGCAGCATTTTGTGTAGTATCAGCAATTTGTACAAGAAATGTACAGGATGTTGAGACAGGAAAAGTTATTTATTTTCCTATGTTGGACTCCCAAAAAGGTTAATAAAATATAAATAAATTAATTAAAATGTTAATTAAAAACCTGAAACGCCATTATGCAATTTTTAGCACAAGGAAGGAAGGCAATGACCAGAAAGTGGCTATTCATAAGGGCAGCTTAAAGTCACTACCTGGCAAATCAGATCCAACTAGTCAATAAAACCTTGGAGGAAAAAGACCCTGGTGTCTATTCAATAACAGTAAAGGCACAAGATGGATCTCCTAGGTAGTTTCATAACTGGGTGCAACCACATAAAAGACCCCTCGTCCACTCCTTGTCTTTCTTTCTATGTTCATGTAAAAAGCACAGTGCTAATAATAAAAATATCAGTTATTTCCCCCCAATAATGGGCAACATCAAGAGCATCTGGGGCAAGTCACATAAAAACATCCATAGTACATGTTGATGGATGTAGAGTACACTGACATAGATGTGGGGTTTCCTGTTTTTTTCTGCCATTGCAAAGGACTATGTCAGTGTAAAAATCTCATTTTTTAGGTTCACGTTGGTTCTGCTAACTTCACTCTGTAGTGCATTAAGTGACTGGTCTCCATGTGATCAGGGTTAGCCTTCCTGGTGTCCCATCAATTTTAAGAGAAGAGTATTACTTTCTTTTCAAATTACAGTCCTGGCATTCTCTGCTGTCTTTCAAGATTCACAGATTTTTTAAAAACAACAACACTTTTTCTTGATCCTAATCTGGGAGGGGCAGGATGATAATTGTGGATACACATTTGATGTAGATGCTTTGAGATTTTCACTATTCGCTGCTTCTTCTCTCTGTATGTCACCGGGTGCAGCGCCTCCTAGGTAACTGAGGTTTATCAACAAGGTTGGCTTGAGTGCTATGTCTGCCAATTTTGCATGAGCTGAACCAGGCTGGTGTATTTGCCTGCCGAGTAGCATAGGATTGAGGCTGTAGTTCTTAGTTTTTCTGGTTCGCTGCTGGTAAACACCTGCCTAATGTCCACAGGCAAGGGCCACTACAGAAGAACTCCTAGTTGTCCCAAAAATGAGTACAGTAGTTTCCCACCTTGGGAAACCCAAATGTTTTTGGATTGCAATTTCCAGAAGCTTTCACCACCAGCTGTGCCCGCTGGGGCTTTGAAAGTTGCAGTCCAAGAACACCTGGGTAACTGTGTTTGGGTTCAGTTTCAAATTTTGCGTGGGAAATATCACAGGAGACATATTCTTAACTTTAACATCTTTATCTTTACTGCTTACACAAAGATCAACACCCTTCATAATCGGGTCAAATCAACTTAACTCCAGCAACAAGCCATAACTGTCAGATGAGAACTCCCGCCCAAAGTCTGTTAAACTCACAGGGGTGCTGGGCCAAACTTCTCTGTGTTGGTGGGTCTCCGGAGGGGTTCACTTCTCACTGCACAAATGGTGCCGCAGCATGGGTTCCGGGCCCAATCCCCCTCAGGCGGAGGTGTATTAAGTCTGGAATCAGGTCATATCACCTGCCATCCTCTTCCCTGCCCCTTTGGGAATACAATCACTGTCCACTCCAAAGTTTCATATTTTACTTCTCTTGCCACTTTAAGAGGGAGATCAGGTAACAATCTCCCTAACTTCAGATTTTGGAAATCTTTCAATAACTCCTGTGTTTTCACTCTCTCATACTCTGCTGGCAAACCTTTGGTGCTTTAAACCAGTATAGGCAAGCTGTAGGCCTCATGTGGGGGGCAGTGCCTTTCTGTGGTCATCTGAACAGCCCCTTAACTCCTGCCATAATTGCTGATTTCTCCCCGGGGATTCCCTAGAGCAGTGATCCCCAACCTTTTTGGCACCACGGACAGGTTGGGGGGAAGGTGGTCCGTGCGCTGGAGGCAGGGCACCCCCTGCGCTCGCTTGTGCGGGCATGTGCGCACATGCATAAAGGGGTGGTGTGTGCTTGCGTGGGCACTTGTACACATGCACAAGGGGGTGGGGGCACTCATGGCACTCACGCAAAGGGTTTGGAGTGCTCACACATGGTGCGCACGCACTAATGTGCATGTGCGAAGGGGCAGGGGGTGCTCACATGGCATGCACACTTGTGCAAAAGGGGTGGCGGCGCTTGCACAGGGCATAAACACTCATGCACATGCGCGAAGGGGTGGGGTACACTTGTGCAAAAGGGGTGGTGGCGCTTGCACAGGGCATAAACACACTCATGCGCATGCACGAAGGGGTGGGGGCACTCACATGGTGCTTGCACACACACACACATGCGCGAAGGGACTGTCTGGGTGGGCATGTGGGGGAGAGTGCATGTGGGAGGCAGGAGAGCTATCTTCACGGCCCAGTCCGGTCAAGGCCACGGACCGGGGGTTGGGGACTCCTGCCCTAGAAAAAGTGATAATCTAGTAGCCACAATCTCTGTGGCAGTAGCAGCAGCCATGTATAAAATGTCTGTGTGGATATGGAAGAGTAAAGAATTCCAGTATTTATATATGCATAGGATGTGTGTTTGTGGAATGGGGAAAATTGTGTGTGCCTCAGTGAGAGAAGGGGAAAATCATATGCATCCATGAAAGGTGTGGAAGTGTATGTAAGAGTGAAGGATAAGTTTAATTTTTTATTTTTAAAAATTAATATAACAAAATACAACAAAAACATAAATGACAAAAAAACCCAAACAACTCAAATACTGTATACAGTGTAACCACTGCCATTGGGAATCCTTTATATATACATGAATGTGAGGTATTTGGGGAAACAGTCCTTTGTTATATGCGCTGCTTAGTCTCTCCAGTCACTGGCTTAGGAGTAAATACAGGTTTTGGATGCTTTTGCTCTGCAGTCTCTAATGCAGTACTCTCTGGCAACCGATGATCCCTTCCTCGTTCTTCTCTTGGCCTTCTAAAGAAGATTCAACTGCACCGTTCAGCAGTATGTGTATGAAGCCACTAGGCAGAGGCAGAACCACCTCAGAGGAAGTACTTAGCTTCCGTATTTTACCACAGACCCTGGAAACGGCACGAAACAGAAAAAGGCAATCGACTTCTTTTAATCGGGCCATCTCCGGTTTACTAAAAAGAGGCGTGGGTTAGGATGCATTGGGCAAAACAAGCTGCGAAGATGCCAATTCCGTGTTTAATCCTTACTCCACAGAACCAACTGCTGACTGAGCCGTCCTGTCTTGCGGCTTGAAGCGCACGGCCCTCCGCCTGCGATAGCCAGTGGCGGGTCGTCTCGCCAAGCTCCACCCGCGCCGCCTCTTCGAGGCTGCTCCTCGCAGGCACCCGCCCCGCGTTACCTCAGCGCTCCACGTGCGCACAAGCCGGCCGTCAAACTCGCGCTCCCGGCTGCGCTCACGGAAGGCAACGCCAGAGTCCTCTAGAGACGGAGCACAGAGAAGGCGGGAGCGCGGACGGAGGCGCTAGCTCGCTTCGCTTGCTGCGGACGCCGCCGGAGTGGGCGCTCGCGCGCCCGGCTCCACCCTGAGGCGCATGCGCTCTGGGTTCAGGTCCGCTCAGACTGTTTGAACAGGAAGGCGGACATATTTGTGTGACTCTGCCCGCCTTCAGTCGCTACTACTGAGGCAGAGGTGGACGCCCTGGGGCCTCATTCTCTCTCCTCGTCGTTTTCAGGTTTCTTCACCGTGAGGAGCGAGCGCCTTCCTTCCAGCCGCAGGACCAAACGGAGGCTCCGAAGAGCGCGGAGGCACGCCAGCTCTTCACAGGCTTTGAAGCCCGGTGCGAAGTGAAGCGACCGCAGCTCCTGTCGGGAAAGAAAAGGAGGGGAAAGAGCCGCCCAACGACGGTGACCCGCGGCGGCGGCGGGGACCCGAGCAAGAGCGGCGAGTTAAAAAAGGTGCGGGGAAAAGAAGAAAAAGAAGAAGATGATGCCTCGGCCGTTACGCGGCCGTCGTTGAAGCCGCGGGTGTCCGGAGGGCAAGGCGGAGGTTTTCCCCCCTCCTCTTCCCCCCCTCCCCGTCCCACTGCAGCAGTGGGGCCAGGGCGGCCTATGCGGCAGTTGGCACCTTCTTGCCCACCCCCGGCTGCAGCTTGAGGAGGCAGCGGAGCCGTGCACGGCCTCGGCCTTGGCGGTGTGGAGGGAGCAGCCTGGTGACGCTCTGTGGAGAAAGTTTCCTGTTTTTATGGTAGGCCTCTGTGCCTCTTTTTTTCTTCCCTTCCCTTCCTTCCAAGTAGCAGCTACTCGGTAGCTGGCACCGAGGAGGAGGAGGAGGAGGAACCGGAACCGTTACGCGTTCTGCCAGGACGGTCGCCTGGCTGGGAAAATGTGGCTGCAAAGACAAGAGGAGCCAGGCTGGAGACCCGAGAAAACGGGCAGGGCTGTAATAACAGCTTAGAGACTCAAGGGAAGGGGCAGCGGGAAAGGCTACTCCTCGAGGAGGGGGTAGCGTCTCTGGACCCCCTTTTCGGCTCCGAACTCGCTGTTGCGCGAGGATGTGTGGCGTGGAGAGCATGAGGGACAACCCTAGTGCCTACCTGGTCCTGCCCTGAGGAGGAGAGTTGGGGGAGGAAGCACCGGGAGCACCCGTGTTCCGTTTTTGCTTGTCTGTGGATTAAGGCGACCACCACCACTTCAGCACCATGTCGGCAGGAGAAAGCTTTGAGTCTCGGTTCGAAAAGATCGGGATGATGATAAGAGACCCCAAATCTGAAGTGAACTCGGACTGCTTATTGGTGAGTTGCCTGAGCTTCGTTTATAAACAGAAACCGTGTGAAAGAGTGGATTCCGTGGAGAATATGATTTATGCACACACACCTCTTGGGTTCTGAAAAAAAGTAGATGTTACTCTCCATCTATGAAGTGTTTTCTGTGCTACTGTGCAAATGATAGTTAAGCAAATTTACAGTGCTGAAAACAAAGCAAAAATATTCCTCTATATGTTGAGATTAAGCAAATGCCTTGCATCAGAATATGATGGAAAACTGGTCAGATTTGTGGTACCAGAGTTGTAGACACCACTGAATCCAACAATCTTAAGTTTTTCAGGCTGCTCTTGTTTTTTAAGATGTAATCCTGTACACACACACACACACTGTTTCTCTCTCTCTCTCTCTCTCTCTCTCTCTCTGTGTGTGTACAAACACACATATCATTTGCAAGAGTCGGTGTGGTGTAGTGGATAGAATGTTGGTCTGCCACAGGGGAGAGCTGGATTCAAATCCCTGCTCAGCTGTGGAAACTGAATAAGCGTAGCAATGGTAAAACAGTCCTTGTACATCTTGCTTACTTTGAAAACCTAATTAAGGTTGCTTTCAGAAGAGATTGGACAGCATATAACAACACAAGAGATTTACTTCTGAGTGGACATGTGTAGGATTGAGTTGCACAAGTACACTTTTGCATTTTAGTTTCTAAATTAAAATATTTTAAACAAGTGAGTGTCTGTATGGTACTTTATAAAAATGTTCTCTAAAGGCAGTTGCATTTAAAGCATTCCAACAAAACCTTGTTATGTCAGTGCACTGCCTAGAAAGATGAAGTTCTGATTTCTCCATAATTCACACAATGTTTCTAGTAACTTTGTTCAGTGTTGCTTAGTGATTACATTATCTAGTTTTTAAGAGCTTATTAAATTCTTAATCCCAATGGTGGGTAAAACCTCTAGTGTGCATGAGAACCTTACATGTATGGCTTGCTTGGATGCCAATGGTGGATGTTTGTGTAGCTGTATCAGGGACTAAATGGATATTACTGTTGTGACTAGACTGGCTCCTGCATAAAGATGAGGTTCTGTTTATAAATCCTGGTGCATAATCTGCCAACCCATTTGCTCTATTAAAAAGTTTTTTTGTGTTCATTGTAGGAAGAACTTAAACATTTATTCGTAAAGTGGAACAGAGGTGCATAGCTATAAAGTGATCTGATGTTAAAATATTCTCATACCAATAGAAGTGACATTGTATTCACTAAGCATATTTTGTTGATATACGAGGTTTTATTGTACAGTATTTTAAAAAAGTTTAGATTCAGGATTCAACAGAGTGAACCTCTTACCAGAGGTTACTCACTTAGTCAGTGAGTGCTACTGACTAAAACAATTGTGTGAATATGTTTTAGTCAGTAGCTCTCACACTATTGTATTCATACTGTATAGGCTGATGCTTAATTGTTTTGCCATGGGCAAACATAATAGTACAAAATTCAACGTGTGATGTGTTAGACTTTGGATAGACTCAATCTGAATGCTTAGTTTTAATTTCAGACTTTCAAATTAGATTGTGTAAATAAGTCCTTAGTTCATTATTTTGCTCCCATAACAAGAAAAAAAGCTATAGCTGCAAGTTGTGTAAAATCTGGTGATCTTAAAACTATTATGGTAATCTGTTCCATGATGGTGTAGTAGAGCTATTGCCAGATCTGTATGTATTGGAGATATGCAAACTCGTATAATACTGCATATGGTTCTCAAACTTTGGTCCCCAGATGTTCTTGGACTGCAAATCCCAGAAATCCTGGCTAGTACAGCTAGCCATGAAGGCTTCTGGTAATTGCAGTCCAAGAACATCTGGGGACCTCAGTTTGAGAACAACTGTGTTACGCAACTTAAGGCCACATTAGAATGCTTGTTATGAGATAATCTGTGTACCTATATTTTGTGTTTGTAAAATTTGTATAATAATTGTGGCCATAAATATAATTATGTCGGGTGATGGAGTTAATAATAATTAGAACCATTTATTGAAAAAATTGGCAAAAGATAGCAGGTTAGATGTTTCAGTTATATTTACCTCTTCAAAGAATCAATTACTTTTCTTTTTCTGGTAGGTGACTGTTGATAAACAGCCACTAGATCATTTTTTCTAAATGGGTGGGGAAAAGATATTTGGGCTATGATACTGACACTATTGCCCATCTGTTTAGTCAGCCATGAAGCAGCCATTCAGCTAAAGTTGCTTGCAACAGTCCTTTGTTCTTCAGATATTTCTTTTGCTGTGATGTAATTTATATTGTGTCTATGACAGGATGTAGCAGTTTAATAGTAATGTATACTTTATATGTCTGGCTAAATGCAGGAGCTATTCTGATACAGTACTAGCATCAGTGGTTGATGGTTTTGTGTGTAAGACTGAGGTTTGTTACAGATATTAAACATTGCACTGTACCATGTGGATTGCCTTCCTGGAATGGTGTATTCTAGCATTAAGCAAGTATTGTAAGTAATGTGTAAACCAGAGATACTCAGTAAGGTGTAACGGATAGAGTGATGGACTGGGACTCAGGAGGGCTGGGTTCAAATCCTTGCTCAGCCATGGGAGCTTGCTGGGAGTATGGAAGTGGTAAAATAATTCCTTAAATACTTTACTTAGCTTGAAAGCCCGATTAGGGTCACAGTAAGTTAGTTCTGACTTCACAGCACTTAACAGCAGCAATGTGTAAACGAATATTCTCCCAGTCATTGGTTTGTTCATATTTGCACTCAATATGGGAGGCTTTCTTTTGGTAAATTCTGCCATTGGTTCATTGAGCTTAGTATTATTTACAGTGACAGTGACTCTTCAAGGTTCAGGACAAAGGTCTTTACCTGTCATATCTAGATACATTGATAATTGAATCTGGAAGGTTTTGCAAAAGAAAATATATGCTTTGCAGCTGAATTACATCCCTGAGTGGATGAACAAGTAACAGTTAAAATGTCTCTTTTCTGTTCTTATGTGATATTGTTCCACATAGCTGCCTTCGGCCACTTTTTATTCTTGACTTATCTTCTATATTGGAAGCAATAAACAGTGTATAGTGGTGCCTCGCTTAGCGATTGCTTCGTTTAACGACAAAATCCCTTAGCGACGACTTTTTTGGAGTGTTTTTTACGCTTAGTTTAACGATGGGCCTTATGGGTGATTTTCGCTTAGCGATGGTTGGGACCATGCTCTGCATAGCGATAAAATTTTGGGTCCCCTGTTTCGCTTAACGATGGTTTAAACAGCCTCATGTTTGCTGTTTTTTAAATGTTTTTCTGTTATTTATAAAGTTAAAGTTTACTGTTTAAAATGTTTGAAATCATAAAGTGCACTTAATAAACCCTTTGTTAACCAAATTTGACTTTGTTCTGACTATTTTTTAATTTGTTGTTGTATTTCCCCCCCATTGAGATGCATTGAATAGGTTTCAATGCATTTCAATTGGGGAACTGTGTTTCCTATGGTGATTTTCGCTTAAGGATGGCAATTTGTTCCTATTGGAACGGATTATCCGGTTTTCAATGCATTTCAATGGGAAACCGCGTTTCACTTAGCGATGAAATCGCTTAGCAGCGATTTTTTGGGAACCAATTAACATCGTTAAGCAAGACACCACTGAATAGATGTATAGTGGTGCCTCGCACAGCGAGGTTAATCCGTTCCGGATTAACCCTAGCTGTGTGAAACCATCACTGTACGGATCAAAAAAAGCCATTGGAACGCATTAAACAGCATTTAATGCGTTCCAAATGGTCAAAAACTCACCGTACAGTGATGCTTTTCCGGGTGGCCGCCAGAACAGCCGAAATGGCTGGGCGCAGCGTTTTCGCGCCCTTGGTAAGTGAGGGGAGGGCGCGAAAACGCTGCGCGCGGCCATTTCGGCTGTTCCGGCAGCGTTTTCGCGCCCTCCCCTTGCTTACCAAGGGTGCGAAAACGCTGTGCCCGGCCCTTTCGGCTGTTCCGGCGGCCATTTTGAAGCTGCGGAACAGCTGATCGGCGGGGCGCAAAGCGAAGGTCGGTAAGCGAATCGCTTACCGGCCTTCGCTCTGTGAATTTCCCCTATCTAGTTGCCGTTTTGCGATCGCATTTACGATCGCAAAAACGGCATCGTTGCGCAGATTCGTTGCTCTACGGAGCGACTGTTGCACGAGGCACCACTGTACAACATTGTCTGTAATCCAGATACACCTTGCTGAGTGTTTTCATTTAATTGACTATCATGTATCCATTATTTGGAAATCTTAAAAATGGATGGTTCTCTACTTCATGTGGGTACTGCAATCTGAATGCAGAGTGTTGTTTACTTCTTACTTGAACAAATGCTAGATCTCAACCAGACAAGGGTGTAATCTCATCCAGTATTGTATCTAAATATGGATGTGGAAGCAGCCATATTTGTCCCTCAACAAGGACATTTTGCTTCTCTAGCCAGGCTCATATCTAGGATCAATCCAACTAGAAAATCAGAGGACCCATCTTCAGAGTCAAGTCCCTTCCATATCTTCCCTCTAGGATCATGGAAGAGAGCAAATAATAGTGTAGCTTCTTCTTCTTTGTATCCATGGGTTTTGTGAGGAAACCCAGAAGTGTCCTATGACCCCAGACGCAGACCTTTTGGCTTACTGAAATCTTGTCTTACTGACATTCTAACAGTACTTTTTTTCATGGCCCCAGGTGCTTTTAATTTTTGGTTGCATTTAGTGTTTTGGAAATGGTTTAGTTTGGTAAAAGCTAAACCTATGAAATTTAAAGTATAAATGTCTTTGTTGTAATTATGAATTTTTTTCATTGTTTGATTTTGTTAGATTTATCATATATATGTATATTTTTCTTTCCATAAACCTCCCTGATTTGCCTGAGAATGGTCTGTTTTCTCTTATGCCCCTTTTGATGGCTTCTGTTTCAAACAAACAAATAAACCAGGGAAAGTTCACAGCTGTGTTTCTGTTGTTCTTAACCGTGTCTTTAGAACTGTTTTTATCTACTAGGCTTAA